ACCAGACGAGAATACTGTGTGTATACCCCAACATAATAATAATATATACAATTCAATCTCGATTACAATAAACATACAGTTCTTTTATAATTTAACACTGATTTGTTCAACACAGTCTATACTAGATTCGGTGAGCGATTTATAACTGAAGAATGACGTGCGTGTATCTTTGCAGCGAGTACAGCACCGTGCGCGTGTGGGGCGGTGCGGTGCGGCGGCTGCGCGCGTGCGTCGCTGCACTCGCCGCGCGCGCCGGTCTGCGCCGCGCACACGTTGCGCCCGGCGCGCTCGCCGCGCTGCACGCGCTCGCGCTCGCCGCCGCCGCGGACCATCCGCGCCTCGGCAGGTACACACGCGCACACACACACACACACGCTTTTAAATAAAATAAAATAAATACACCCTATGTTGTCCTATTCACATAGCTACCCATAATATGCCAAATTTCATTCACGTTTATTAGTTATTCCTGTTATATATGACGAATGTATACCTGTATATATTACTTTAACTGATGTATGTGTAGTGTGTTGGAAATGAAATAGGTCCTCCTTATAAGAGATAGCGTTTATTTTTATTATGCGTGTAACAACAGTGCCGGCCCGATCGTCACTGACTCACAATTCATTTACATAGGTACTATACTAAGTGTAGTTACATTACTAATTGACCACTTGTTCGTTTAAAACACATCTTCTCGTCAGGTATACCTCATTTGAAAACAAGATTGTACACCCAGTGCGTGTCGCCAGTGACGACATGGATCTGAGGCGTGGTCCTACTCTGCTGGCTGCATGAAGAAGCTGAAGGTCGCTCAGCGAGCGATGTTAAGGAGTGTGCTAGGAGTTTCTCTGCGTGATAAACATAGAAATGAGGATAACCACAGTAGAACCATAGTTACCGACATAGCCCAACGGATTATTAATTTGAAGTAGCAATGGTCTGGCCATATAGCTCGAAGAGCCGACAAGGGATGCGGAAGAAAAGTTCTCGCGTGGCAATCTCGTACCGGTAGGCGAAATGTAAAGCGGCCCCTCACTAGATGGCGTCGATTAGTGACGACCTGGTAAGACATGCAGGAAATCGATGGACCGTCCTTTGTGGCATTCCTTGGGGAAGGACTATGTTTAACAATGGACTTGTGAAAGGCGGTATTGGTGATGATTTTAATAATCGCAAAATTTTATCAAAATTTAAGGTGAATAAAATATTCCAGACAACTGCCATTTTTACATATACAGACTAAATCTTAGAGTATTTAATAAGTAATGTATGCTTATTTGTGCTCTAAATTTAAACATAATATTATGATCATAATTATATATAACTTTTGTAAAAATTACAAAAATCTACTTTATTACTTCCTAATTCACATGTAAATTTTATCAATGATAGAGGGCGTTGAAAGGTAATTTGTATGTCACACTAATAGATGGCGCTTGTAGTACCTTATAGTGCAGTATGATTTGCTACATAAGGTTCTTCAATAGATGTATGCACCTAAAGATTTAAATCATTTATTCAAAAAAGTTATTGATAAAATCTATATTTTACTTGATAATAACAAATCGAAGATTGTATATCATCGTTTAAATTTTGATGGTTATAGATAAAGATTTTGTTAACTCAAAGTCAAAGTAATTTTTTTTACAGAGTAGAGCTGACATCGTGGGACACGGAGTGGGAGGAGGTGTGGCTTAGCGATACGCAGTTCGATTTTGACGAGCCCGAACCCCCCGAGCACCTTAGCTGGCCCGACGCGGAACATGTAAGTATACCAACCACCCAACCAGAATTGACACCTGAATGAGTTTTCGGGAAAAAAGAGAAAAAAAAGGATTGACACATCCCCGGTGGCTTTCTTAAATCAGCTACAGATATCCATATAATGCAAAAGTCATCATTAAGTGCACTACTTTGCTGTGCGATATAGGTTAAATATGTAGGTTACGAGTTAAATTCTCCAGTGTATTAAGGTTGCGACACGAATAGCTTCGTTCAACCGGAAACACGACAGAAGAAGGGTGATTGAAGAGAACTGAAAACTCTTTTTACTAGTAAAGAGGCATACCATCTTATTTCTCATTGATATCTGCGTTGTGATTCATAATGGAGAATAGATACAGAAGTCTATGGGTTAAAGCACTCACTTATCATCATGTGGAGACGAACACACGGTTCGTTTGTAATACCTTATTTCTGTAAAAATCTATACATTTTTCATATAACACTTAACCGACGAGAATGTAGATATTACATGAATGTGAAAGAAACGATTTGTGTCAGGATTGTGCTTAATAGAAATCCGTGGTATCTGACTACCCGTTTGTGCGACAGGTGTGAGAGTTTATGCGTTTTTCACAGACTATGTAATGCAAGGCTTGCATCGTACTAAGAGCCGTGGTAGCTCAGTGGTTAACGCTCGCTGTAAATATAACAGAACGCGAGTAACCCGGGTTCGATCCCCGCCGGCACCAATGAAATTGTTAATTGCAATTTTAAGTGCTGATTTACCACGTGCTTGGCGGTGAAGGAAAACATCGTGAGGAAACCTGCATGTCTGAGGAATAAGAAAAAAAAATATTTCGAAGACATGTCAAGTTCGTCAACACGCATTTGGGCAGCGCGGCGGACAGTTCTTTGCCCTAAAACCCTCTCAGAAATGAGGGGAGGCCTGAGCCCAGCAGTGGGACGTATATAGGCTGTAACTTTTTACTTTTACTGTTGTGCATTCTGCAGTAGTAATAAAGCCATAGTGTATCGTACCTTAATATTTATGCTGCTTTGATTGGCACATGACTGGTGTGACTGCAACAAAACACAGTTTGTGACATCACAACTGCGTATGTACTCAGCCCTGTATATTGCAGCGCAGTAGCCCAGTGACCGCGTTACCAAGATTCACGCACACTAGTAGTTGTTGCTGATTAATCTTAGTGTATATTGTAAAAGTCTGTTAGATTGTAAATAAAAACTAAGCTAGGTATATTTTTTTATGGAAGAGGGGGCAAACGAGCATGCGTGTCACCTGATGTTAAGTGACTACCGCCGCCCATGATCAACCGCAACACCAGGGGAATTGCAGGTGCGTTGTCGGCCCCGGCCTTTTAGAAAAGTGTAAGCTCTTTTCTTGAAGGTCCCTAGGTCGTATCCCCGGTGGTAAATTATTCCACAGAGAGGTCGTACGCGGAAGAAAACTCCTTGTGAAACGTACAGTGGTAGACCGCCAAGCATCCAGATGGTGTGAATGGTATCGGGACGTTTGCCGCGTAGTGGGTTCACGAAATTTGGCGGCTGGGATTAATCCAAACAATTCCTCAGAGCATTTTATTTCAAAGAAAATGCAAACAGATGCAACATCTCTTCGCAGCGCCAGTGCAGAAAGCACACGGTCGTCGACGATTCGAGCCGCTTTGCGCTGGATGCGGTCAAGTGGAAGGAGCTGGTACTGGGGAGCCCCAGCCCAGAGATGGGAACAGTATTCCATGTGTGGCCGAACCTGCACCTTATAAAATTGCAGGCGGTGTGCCGGCATAAAATACTGTCCCGCTCTACTGATTACGCCAAGCTTTTTAGAGGCCAATTTGGCCTTCTCTTCCAAGTGACCACGAAGCTGCACGTCACTCGATGTGTCGACGCCGAGGATTCCGATACTGGCTGAGGCAACAAGGGGAGTGCCTTGAAACAGGAGATACGACAAAGGGGTTCTTTTTAGCGGTTAACGCGCAAACTTGTGTCTTCTGAGGGTTAAACTGGACTAGATTTAGTTGCCATTGGCTTCTGCCATATTCACGAGCAGCCAGGTGGTTGAGCTATTGAAGGGATATTGGGTTAATCTAATATATAAAAATTAATATTTGTTTGTTCGTATTTTATACATGCCATACCGTTTATCAGATTGCGGTAAAACTTGGTCAACATATCGCTTGAACTTCTGTGATGACCCGGACCCGGTAGGTGGCACTGATGTAGAATCCAGATATCACCCATGCGAAGCCGGGGCAGTTCATTAGTAGTATTTAAATAAATAGCTATCTGACTGTACAGTATGTTTAACATAAAATGCTTGTACTACAACTTTAAAACTAGTCTAAAGATGTGTAGATCTGATATTAGAACAGTCACCTTGGCTGTATTGCGTCGCACTGCCGCCGCCGGAATGAACAGCATGGCTTTATTGTGGACAGAAGTTTCTTGACTGCATATATGTATTGACATTAGTAGCACTAGTAAGGATTGAAACACTGTGGCAGCGAAAAATAACAGCTGAGTGTAGATAACTGGAGACCCTTTTTACTGGATACGAGGGATTCCATCTTAGTGCTCAAGTGTGACAACGCATCTGCATTTTGAATCTTAATTAAGGATAAATGTAGATGTCCATGGATCACAGCATCCACTTATCAGGCACACTGTGTGATCGTTTGTCACCCCCATTTGTAAAAAAATGTGGTGTATTAACAAGAACGCGGTCAGTTCCAGCAGGAGGTTGCTCGCTGCAGCCCGCCCGCGCCCGCGCCCTCGCTCGTCACCTCGCTGGCCTCCATGTGGCGCGGCTGGACCAAGTGACTCCCCGCCAACACCACCTACACACACATATACAAATTAAATAAATACACAAACACGCCGTAATCTGTCAAAATCAGCATACTCTTCTCATTGACTTTATTATGTAAACCCAAAATCACACGAATTCACTAAAATCTCATAAATTCCCTAAACCTAAAACCTACTTCGTATAAGTACTTAAAATTCACATATTTTAACATATCTGTATCTTTTTAATGCCGCCTCTTATCATAAGAACACCTCAGTGAACATAAACTATAAATAAATAAAATAATAAAAAATAATTTTAGGATGCTTTAATTTTTTCTAAATGGTTGACAACACACCTACAATCCCTGTCATTATTATATTGTTCTTTTCGCTGTCATTATACGATTAAAAAAAAAAAAGAAAATTACAGCCATGGCCCTTCCATTCCACTTTAGATGAGCCGCATATTAGTTTGTTTCATCTTATCCTTTTGAACGTCAACACAATTTACACAATATGTAATATGACAGATAATATTTATAACGAATTTACAAAAATACACACTTCATGTATTTTATTATTTATTTCAGAAGCCGCATAGTCTAAACTCATAACTGCAACTTCATTATAGATATCCAAAGATTTGTATGAATTTTAAACTTCATTACATTTACTTACACCTGTGAGGTCAATTATCTTTTTATGCAGTTAATTAGTAATTCAATTATTAACATATTGTTTTGTGCAATTTAAAAGCAAAAATAAATAAATTTCATGTGTTACACCTACATAATTCAAATACCTTAAAAACCAATGCTTACTTAAAACTTAGAGCTAAGAGCTCCTTGCTCTAAACATCCAAAGTCCATAATACGTAACTTAAGGTATGTTCAACATTTTTTAGCTTATCTTTATTATACTGGATGACTTTTTTTCCGTCTCGAAAAAAATAGGGTGTTTACTTTCGTACCGCGTCACCCGCCGAGCTCGGCCGACGCTTGGCAGGTGACGCGGCAGCTACTTTACGATTACAGACCCGGATTTTATTTCTATTATTTCGGGGAATTCCAAGTAAGACGTCATTATTGTTTACTAACTACGACTTACAGTCGATCTCACTCAGTCTCATGCGCGTAGATAATGCTCTCGCGCTCCTCTCTCACAGAGATATTAAAATTTAGTTTAGGGGATGATTGGCCCCTTGGATTGGTCTGTCTTCTTGTCAAAGGTTTTATAACCTAGTTGTCGGGTGAACATATATAAAAATGGAGCATCAGAATTTACGTGAAGTTAACTAAATATTTTGAGAGCTTTAAAGCGTCTGCAAAGCAATATGGCCGACGGAAAGTGTCTGGGAGTATTGACAACTTATTTTTAACCATACGAGTACATTCTAAAACATATATGAAAATCAGCCATGAGAATTTACGTGAAGTAAGTAATGTTTTTATGTACCTTGATCATCTGATACCTGGAAATTGGCCGTTTGACCGAGCTAGCAGGTAGACATACGATCGTAGTACATACTAACACTACTCAATCGTCCACATTTCAGCCGTCAGAAAATACGTGAGGTCTGGCGGCCCTGGGATCTTGGACTAATAGGCTTCTACTCCGTTTACATGTTACACCCTATTTTTTTTCCAGACGGTAAATAGGTCATCCGGTATATTAGGAATCACTAATGAATAAAACTTTTTAAACTTAATTTATTGTCTGTGCGAAATACGAATACGAATCAGTTTTAATTACTATTAGAAAATCATAAAGATGGATTTTGTCATGCGTCGTATAGTATCTTGATGGCGAAAGTGAAATGTTTGTTGAGAATGAGAGCTAATAATGTTACGCTCACCAGACTCAGACTAGTTGGGACTGAGGCTGAGGTGAAGTTATTAGTTACGCAGCAATGAATAGTTGCATTTTAAATAAAAGTTTTTGGTTTCAAAACAATGCCTGAGTACTGTTATTTTTTTTACACATTTTACTTTGTTTATTTTTTTTACTTTTAAGAATATCCGTAGTTTGGTTTATCGATTTCTAATCTAATTAATATAATATCTACACTTTTCTAACATAAAACTTCCCCCGCTATGAAATCTCTCAAATAGCCGGTGTTTTTAAAACGTTCCCGAAAGCGAAAACAGACAATAGTACTAAGGATATTGATAATGGGACAAAAACAAAATCGATGCCGACGATAAAAACACATATTTTACAACGTTTGATTAGCTTTACTCACGCTCTGTCATGTTAGTACAGCTAAATAAAACGATAATTTCATAAAAAATATCATGAAAATACCTAAACATAAAACCAGCAGTAAAACTTAAATACCTAAAATGTAGCTGACAAGGGTCATTGTACGCGCGATGCTGAATTCGCTCAGCCCGCAGCCACATTAGTAGATAAACGGAATTATGTACTCATGTGCAGCTCGCGATCATACCAATTCCTAATAATTTACAACACGTCCAAACATCTAACTTATCTACTTAACCTACTATTTTGCCACTGTGCTAGTCTCCACCTAGCCACTTTATTTCGAATTCACAGGTTAAATAAACCAAATAGTTGGTTCGATTCCCCGCTTATGAAAAATGTACTTAAATTACCTATCGTGTAAGTATGTTTATTATTCTCATGTTTTCAGTTATGTACCTACCTCAGATCAGATCAGTACTAAGTTATTTTAAAAAAATTAGGTATGAAACAGCTTACCGATCTAAATCCTTAAATAAACCTGCCCATACGTTAACCGACCATTGGGTTTGGTGCTCGGTTTGTCGAACAGCGTGCGGGTTAACCTTGGAATACACGTGGTGTATTTCTTCGGTTCCACAGGCCGTTTCTGGTAAATGTCGACTCATCCGTCTAGATGACGCGCTCAATGAAACCAAGCACACGTTGTTGCTGGTCTAATAACCAACGGCAGAAAACTTGCACTTGGCCGGGAACTAAAGCTTGCACTTTGTACACTTTGTATGGGCGCATTCGGTTACACTTTAACACCTTGTGAACTGTCTAGTATGACACACTTGTTCCATCCCGATGCCTTAACAATTTAACGATACTTAATAAAATTATAAATTCATAATGCACGCGAAGCATTCCCGCGAGCTTCCCCAAGGCACATTAACATGTCGCCGTATTCACAAGCACTAATGTCCTCCTGACCGAAATTTGGTCACGGCGGCCAGCCTCAACGGAGACTAGCCATCGGCGCAGGACAGGATTATAGTGCCCAAGTGTATGCACAGGTCCACTCTCTATTCCATAACATTCATATTCCGATGGGACGGTAAACTGACACGACCGGAGAGAGATCAGGCACAGGACCAACGGCTTTACGTGCCTTCCGAAGCACGGATGTGAAATACCGCCAACTCCCTGACTCCGGAAAGCTATTGAGAATTTATTGAAGGAAAAACTCAATAATTATTTTTTTTCGTTCCACCCGGTATTCGAACTCAGGACCTCATGATCAGTAGTCGCGCCACTACAACCACTAGACCAAAGAGGCAGTCACTATAAACAAGCACTATAAACCTACGCGTTAGGTATTATTAAAACAAAATAAGAACCACAAAACGTTAGAACAATTTTGTAAACAAAACGATGAAACTGTTGCTCAAGCGCACGTCAACACGGAACTGTCTCAAAAACTAAAATTGATAAATGCCCAACGCTACTTTCGTGTGTCCTTGCGGTTAGCATTTTGACCATTCCACAGATCATTAAACCGTTACGACATTCCCAACTTTAATTTTATAAGTTTAGTTATACCTACGACTAGTCTTCATATGAAATTTAGAAGTTATAATCGTAATTTTTTAATACAATTAGACAATCAATTGTACCCTGACGCAACAAGCAGTTCGTTACTACAAAAATGATATTGAAATTAATAAACGTACCTAATTGGGTACTCACTTACACTATTATGAACAAAATTTCATCGTTGTCTTTGATTTTGTACAATAAAGTAGAAATGAAATTGTACTGAATAATTTAATTGTTAAAATCAATTGCAATTATGATCGATACTTAACTTATCTATCACAATTAATCTAAAAAATATTTATTTTACTTTATTTTAATTGACTGTCCTTTTTTAATCCGTCCAATACTTTAAATTTTTAAAAAGAGGTACTTAAGTCAAAGCTATAAAAATTAATTCCGAGTTTTATTGTGATTGCCACCTATAATTCTTATTTCGCTTGCAATTTTTTTAGTACCTAAGTAAATTTCGGTTTAGCAACGCTGCAACATGTGTGTGAAAGGGAAGGGTAGAGTGATCGTATTTTTCTCACTCTAAAAAGTTCAGCGTCTGCGCGTATTTTGACCCTATATCAGCTGATTTCAGGTATTTTAGGTATTTAAGTTTCACTGCTGGTTTTATGTTTAGGTATTTTCATGATTTTTTATGAAATTATCGTTTCATTTAGCTGTACTAACATGATAGAGCGTGAATAAAGCTAATTAAACGTTGTTAAAGTGATTTTTTTTCATCGGTATCGATTTTCTTTTTGTCTCATCATAATAAAGGTATCCTTAATACTATCGTCTGTCTTCATTTTTGGGAGCGTTTCAAAAATACCCTCCTTATTCCTAAGTAGCGCCGTCTTGGTGGCAGAAAATCGCGGTTACATTGAAATAAAGTTACTTTTATGATTTCCGGTTTAATATTTTTCCTCGTTTTCTTAAAACCTCAATCCCATCAATGTTTATCTCTCCCTCGAAACTTTACACTGATTACTCCATTCTTATAGAATACGCAATAATTCCGATTAAACAGATTAATAATACTAGTGATATGCATATGCGATAAAACTGTTATTTAAGTCTTACAAGATTTACCAGTGATATGCTATCACCTCGGCTTTAGTTTAATTTTTCTTATAATATAATTTCTGCTTTACAAGTGTAAAATAATAGTACTTACCAATTTAGAAATAGAACCGTTAAACCAAAAACTTCTATGGACTACTAGACGGGCCTTAATACATTGCGCGCTAAGTTACAGTGTTGTTGTTACAATGTTATACGATCAATTCTCCGTAACAACTTAACTACCTAACTAACTTCTTTAGTCGATTGGGAGTGGCGAGTAGACTATTTCTTTGTGCTGTAAGCCGCGAATGTTATTTTCGACTCGATTCACAGCCGTGAAAAAGTTTTTGTTCCGAATTTCCGGCCTATACATAGAAGTATTTGCGTCGAACCGACATTTTGACAATACATTACTCACTAACCTTAGTTGCGTAATTGAAGAAGTAAAAAAGAACTAAAAACTTCTATTTTTTTTTTTTTTTATTTAAACTATTATTTATTTCATGTTGTGATCGCATTTTGTAATATTTTTCCTTAAAAATAAATAAAAATAATAGTCTCAATATGGCGGCTTGCCATTACGGTTTTATAAAAAATGACGTTAGGGAAGTTATCAGTTAATTGAACCTTATTTTTACCTTGCCCGCATTGTAGATTTAGGCTATTTTGTATATATTTGGTCGTATAGCACCAGAAACAAGTGTTTGTAATTAATTGTAATTGTATAATTGTTCAGGGATAGCTCGATGTTTGTACATATTTTTACAAAAAATACTACTTTTAGATCCACATCTAAATAGATAAATCAATTGTAGTAATGTTGCCAGATGCTTTTGGTTTTATTGTTATTGATTATTGCTTTATTTTTATATATAAAGAAGTAATACATGACCGTTAAAGTAGGTAACATAGGGAGAGAAATTGCAATTTTAAAAACTTGATATTATTATAAATATATTTGCCAACAAAAATTTAAATCACATGTTTCCTTTGAATCTGATATACTCGTAGTAATAAATGGAAAAAAATAATACAATAAATTCAGTTCCCAAATATTAGGAATGTTATACATAATGGTTGTTTTAGATAACGGTTTTAATGTAGTCCCCAATCTATAATTGAATCAGTTATTTTAAAAAGAGCATAAGTACACTTAAGTAAGTTTTTCAGGAGACACAAAAAACTTTGTCCTTAAAAGTTTTGTATGATTTCTTAAAATATTTATTTCTTATTTAATAAACGCCTATTTAAGTCATTGTTTTGTTAAATTAATGAGTAATATTATTACACGGTAATGTAGATATAGCTCATTGTAGAATTACTTTTCCTTTTTCAGAAGTCAAAACTAATATGGTTAAAGTAAATAAAATGAGCAAGTTTTGATCATAAATTTAGTTTATTTATTACAATATATTTATAAAAATTACTTAAAACTGTTATTTCGATCATTCATCATCTTCATCTATAGTTTCTAATGACTTAGTAGGCCAATATGGTTTACGAGTTTCTATAGTGATTTCATTATAGAAACTCACGAATTTTGGAGGGAATGTGCCTCATGACTTTCTTAAGACGACACATCGAAAATAAACGCTTAAAATGGCTCCGCCTATTCTACCCCGCGCCCCGCTAGTGACACTCGGCACTCGATTCCCAAAATTTCAAACCCTCAAGCAGCGAGCAAAATCAATGCTCAATGGGAGGTCAACGTGCGGTAAACAGAAAGGAACAGGCAAGCGTCGGAGTCGCGACACACTATTTTTTTAATGTTTTTAATATTTTGCATCATTTATTGTCTTGTTGTATAATAAAATGTAACTGTATATGTCATTGTTATTGTCGTCATGTTCGTTTATCGAAAGAGAATCAACGGGATTCACTTCTTTTCGCAATACCTAAGTTTGAGCAATCATAATAAAATTCATGAAAGAGTGACACATTTAACCTCCTGAGGCCCAGAATTTTGTAAGTTCAAAAATCAGTGAGCTACAATAATGTTATAAATACCTGGAAAAATAAAATAAAAAATCTTTGGTGGAAAACTGGAATTTTCTCAATGTTGTTTACAAACAACATCGGTTCTCAATTACTACTGAAATAAAACTCGAATTGAACTACAATTAGTTAGTTTATTACAACATTTATGGATATATTGAAATAAATTCAGAAGATATTACATAAAAAATTTTAGGTAAAATATTCTGCTATCAGATCTGGAAATGTCGTATCCCCTTGATAAATCACCATATCGCAAACTGTTTTAGAGGGGTTGGCAAGCACAAATACCTTAATACTAACAGGATTAGGCTTTCCTGGACAGTATTGACGTATACCGCAATGGCCACTAAATGGTATAATCATTTCGTCTATGCTGATGTGATCCATTCTTGGCTGAGCGCGATAACCGCGAAGAACAACATCGAAAAGTGGTGCAACGTTCCATATTTTATTAGTTTTTTCTTCTTCTGAAATATCGGCATCGTATACTATCTTCAAAGAAGTTCTGTTATGACCAATACTGTCTAATCGGTGGCAAGCTAAACCATGACTAATAGTACTCCTATAAAAAATGTCAGTTCTTTCGGTGCAATTTTCTGTTATTTAGCTGTTTTTGAAAAGTAAGTCTGGTTAGTAGCAACCACAATCTTTTCGAAAATATCATCATCAGTGTACTGTTTAAAAAAGTCTTCTGGCGACCACAACTTCTTGTCCACTAAAACATATCTTGGTTGAAACAATGATCGCTCAAAGGAGAAAAATCTCCATTCCAGTTATTGTGCGTTGATTGCGCAGTAGAATTGCGAGTACTAACACTCCGTCCTCCTCTTGTTCGTACACCCCTCTGTTATCTTGAACGACCTCCTCGTGTTCTAGCTCCACCTCTAGTTGTAGAACGACCTCCTCGTGTTCTAGCTCCACCTCTAGTTGTAGAACGACCTCCTCGTGTTCTAGCTCCACCTCTAGTTGTAGAACGACCTCCTCGTGTTCTAGCTCCACCTCTAGTTGTAGAACGACCTCCTCGTGTTCTAGCTCCACCTCTAGTTGTAGAACGACCTCCTCGTGTTCTAGCTCCACCTCTAGTTGTAGAACGACCTCCTCGTGTTCTAGCTCCACCTCTAGTTGTAGAACGACCTCCTCGTGTTCTAGCTCCACCTCTAGTTGTTGAACGACCTCCTCGTGTTCTAGCTCCACCTCTAGTTGTAGAACGCCCTCGACAGAATGACGATGAAGTAAAAATTTCTGACAAAGGCCGAGATTCGCTTTCAAATTCTGAAGGAGAACCTGAATCAGAATCACTTAGACTAGACTCTCTCACAGGAGGTGACTCTTCTGACTGTTTACCGTCATCGTCGTCTGATAAAATATCCAGGTACGAATCTTCGAGGGCATTGGTAATGTCTGCAACTATCAAAACTGAAAAATAAGTCAATAAATGTAACAAAAATAAATTAAATTCTAATGTTGTATAGGTATACTCTATACCTACATCGGGACTTCGAACATGTAGTTACGGACTTAAGAACCGATGTAGTAAATATAAAACATAGGTAGTAAATTTCAAATATACCGTAAATAACTATCGCAATCTGTAAAATATTGTTTGTATTACAAAGAAGACTATTTGGATTATAGTTTCACACCAAAAAAATAATGTAAATACTATAGATTTGCACAAAATTTAAAGATTACTCACCACTTTGCCACCGTTGTTCTGCCATCTTTCGCAACAAGTAGACTGATGTCAATAAATATGACAAGTTGCAAAAAAATTACTATAATTCAACTGATGGAGGTGTAATGAATTTTCATTTTTTGTGTTATATATATATACTATTGTGAGCCTCAGGAGGTTATTTTTTTATTTTAGGAAAATTTTCCTAATGACTGTATGGCAAGGCAGTTTTTTATAAAACTTAGTCCACCATCTTTTAAAATCTGTGTGTTTACTGGAAATACAGATATTTTGCTATTATATGCAATTGTTGACCTGGCCTTATCGTTAAAAAATAATGATGTATTTCTTCAAATCATTTGTATTTTGACCAACACACCCGTCGGAGAATATAATATATAACTCGTCAATCCCAGATGGCACAAATTTTTCTATACAATGTTTTAAAAATGAGCAAACTTCGTTTGGACCCGTACAGGCTTAGCCCTCACGGTATGAGTACAACAGCGGCGTCAGTTTTTAAATTGTGGACACAAAACTCATCAACCCAATGCTGTCTGCAATAAAATCTTTCTTGAACAGGGATATGACGAAGTGGGAGGTTTTACGTGTAGGGTGTGTTCCGAAATAGAACCTAATATACTGGCCAAAGCAAATGACGTATAAATCGACGCCATACTGTGATTCGTTTCAAAATATTGGCCAGTTTATGGCATCATACATTTGCGCCATATTGGAAGAGTGTTGACGATTATTTTATGTCATTTTGTACTCCAAAAGTTATTATATCCTGTTTCAATTAATTTGTGAAGAATGGACTTACCAGCAATAATTCTATAGCTTTTTGTATTTGAATAAATAAAAACAAATTCTGACATGTTTCACTCAGCGAACACACAATTAAAAATTGTTTTAATATGGTGGAATATCCGACACAATAGGGCGGTAGGCGGGCCAGACAATATGGCGTCAATTAATGACGCCATATGCATTCGCCAGTATACAGGGAACATTTCGGAACACAGTCACAGTCTATACAAATATCTAAAGTATTTTATCTACTACAATACAGACTACTTCAATAAAGTATGTGCAGCTTCCAAAATCTATTTTTATGCTTTTCAACTCTCATTTCTCTCTACGTCAGCGCAATTTATATGAAATTGTAAAAAATATCTTGTTCAATTTTTGAATCAATATGGATAGCTTATCGAAATTACTTTGCCGATCAAATATTGGTGTTTTGTTGAAACATTGCATTTTGTCTTAGTAATGTAATACTAGAATACTTAGAGATGTAATAGGTATCTGAACATTAAAATAACAATTACACATAAAAGTAATTGCCTGCAAACTCCACGAACAGTCTTGGCTTGGATAACTTTGTTTTTCCAAGCCCTCCACTAAGTCATCAACATCAAATCAGCAAATCTCTGGCGTCTGTTGAGAAGTAACAAAAGTATCTGACGCCAAACATACGTACTTAGGTCAAGTGTGTACCTACACCAACGCTCCCAGCGTTGCGTCACATACGTTGCGTACATGGGACCAGTCTGTTTTTCCTCTTAAGGTTAATATGACATGTATCTTGCCGAGGAAACAGCGGACTAGTGCCATTTTTGTAGAAGCAGGGACAGAAAACACTCCTCATACAACTCACTAAATAGTGTGACACCTTTTCAAATATAATTCAATTGTATTAGATAGACCAATTTGTATATAAAGGAGAAAATTGTAAGTTATGTAAAAGTTTTTTTATGGTTTACTGTTGATATTGTAAATATAAAAGTTCTTTATTCAAACATGTATTTTTATTTTAGAATAATGTCCTCCAGACCGAATTTCGGTCACGTCCAGTCTAGACTGAGACTAGTCTAACTTCCTGATTCCGGGCTCCTACTGAGAATTTATGGACAACAAAACCCAATAACTGATTTTGGCCCAACCAGAGATTTGAACCAAGGACCTCGTGATCAGCAACCGCCTTTACAACCACTACACTAACGAGGCCGTCATTTTTATTTTACCTGATACTCCAAGTTAAGAACACATTTTCGACGTGGTAATGTAAAATAGCAACTTAACTCTGTTGTGTTTCGTATGGCGAGTGTAGAGAACGAACCTTTTTTGCTGAAAACGTTGCATTACATCTTAGTCCTCAGGAGTGAAATGAAATAAATGATTTTAATTCAATATAGATTATTGCAGAATATTTTTATAAGTTATTTTTTTATTTACCACTGGTTCGGAAAAATTCTCCATCCTGGGAACGTATTTTTTTTGCAAAACAAATGTATATAATATATATACTTAACTATTTTAATTTCTTTAAAAAACGTTCCCCCCCCCCCCACAGTAGGATTTTCTCCTGTATCATGGAGGCAGTTTACAAACATAAATTGCACAAAGACAAACAATCAGACCCGGAACAATTATTTGTAGGCCATACAAATACTTGTTCCGTGCGGGATTCGAACCCGCAACCTCCAGCGCAGCCACTCATTGCTAAGCCAGTGCGCCACGGAGCCGTCTCGAAATATGACTTCAATGTCAGTCGCATTACTATAAGACATTACTTTATGTAAGCATTGATTTATACGAGGGTGGATTGAAAAGTACTCGGCCTAACCAAGAAAATAAACACATACTAAATCAGTTATATTTTTATTTTTCTACATAATCACCATCAAGTTCATACACTTTTGCCACCTCCCCTTCCAAGTATTTAGACCGTTGAAAAAAAATTATTCTTCCTTAGAGTCAAAATATGCGTCTACAGCTGATTTGACCTCGTCGTTTGTCGAAAATCTTTGACCTCCCAAGTGCTTTTTTAGGTTAGGGAACAGAAAGAAGTCTAATGGTGCCAGATCAGGTGAATACGGCGGATGCGGTAACAGTTCAAAGCCACAGTTGTGAATTTCAGCCATTGACTGTACTGACGTGTGAACACGGGCGTTATCTTGATGAAACAGGACTTTTCTTCTGAGCATTCCTCGACGTTTTTCTTTTATTTCCTCTCGTAAACGACGTAGTAAGGTGCAGTAGTAATTAGAGTTTATAGTCTGACCCCTTTCAAGATAATCAATCATAATCACACCTTTCGAGTCCCAGAATACTGAAGCCATCACCTTATTTGCCGACAAAATCGACTTAGCCTTTTTTAGGGGGTGGTGAACCAGGTCTTCTCCACTGTTTTGATTGTTGTTTTGTTTCCGGTATACAGTAATGACCCCATGTTTCGTCCATAGTAACAAAACGATTCAAAAAATCATCTGCATCAGCTTCAAATAACTCCAAACAGTCGCGTGAAATAGTCAATCGCGTCCTTTTTTGTTCAACTGAAAGCAGTCGCGGAACCCACCTCGCAGACACCTTGTGGAAACCCAACTCGTTGACAATGATGTTTTGAGTTCGTTCATAAGAGATGCCTATAATCTCGACTATCTCTCTAATTTTTAATCTGCGGTCTCCCATTATTAAATCAAGTACTTTTTTAATATTTTCGTCAGTAGTTGACGTCGAAGGCCTTCCAGAGCGGGGTTCATCTTTCACACTCTCTCTACCACGCTTAAATTCTGCTATCCATTTTTTGACGGATGAATATGACAGAGCACAATCGCCTAATGTACTGACCATGTCATCATGGATGGCTTTTGATGATAGCCCCTTCTTATGGAGGTACTTAATGACGGCACGCTGCTCGATTTGCTCCATTCGCGGATATTATGTCCGATTACTTTGTTAATAAATTTATAAAATCACAACTAATTATCGCACACGTTTCGAACTTCACACAATGAACTAGTCTGAACTGAAATAAATAATGTGGGTAGATTTAATTTTTAGAATTGAATGGATCTGTGTTAGGCCGAGTACTTTTCAATCCACCCTCGTACATTACACTAGATTAGTAATTACCGCGCCAAAGCGTTGCCACTGCACATATGGCCACAGCTATATGCCTAGCTACATCAGTTCAGTGTTCAATGTGACGCCAACAGAGGTGAGCCGTACGATCCGCGACAAAAAATGAGTAAATGCGTAGTTAAAGAATGTGATTCAAGGACACAAAAACATAATAAATCAAGCGGAATCACTTACCACACATAAGTTTAAGTACATGTTTTCATATATAAACCTAGAAACCTCAAATAATCAAATAAAATTATCGAATATTATTTATGTTAAATGTTGCCACTTTTTTGCCTTAGTGATTATTCCACATTAACGAGAGACTATATAATTAATGGAGTAAGTTAATTTGTTACTTCTGATTTTAAATATTTTGGAAATTATAATAAAACTACGTTTGAATGTTCATACAAAATAATTAATTATTCTTATTATTTTTTTCTTCTTATTTTAGTTTATTCATGAAGGATCTATTAAATATATTTTATTACCTATTTTATATTGATTATAATTTTATTTTTATATAAATTTTATATTTTATATTAATTATATTTTATTACCTATTTTATATTGTTTGATTTATTAGTACAATAAAATACTTAAATACAGTTATGCTAACTTCTATTCACCTGATAAGAAAATATAATAAAATATCATGATAATAATGATATTTTATTACCTATTTTATATTGTTTGATTTATTAGTACAATAAAATACATAAATAGAGTTATGCTACTTTCTATTCACCTGATAAGAAAATATACTTTTTTTAAATAAAAACAATTAACTGCTTAAAAAAACTCCTCTTTAATGCGTATTTTGGGTTAAATTTCATATAGTAAGCCACACCAACCCGCCATTGCATGTTTGGTGTGTCTATCTTTATCTAATCTTAGCGGTATTGTTTTCGCAACTTGTGTTAGTGAGACAGATATGTTTATTTAAAATGTTTAGTAATTTCAAAGCTTCGCCGCCGCGGTTGGATACTGGTTACACTTTTTTCGACGCGTGATTATGTGGTTTGCTCCTCTAATTTTGTATAACTCAATGTATGTAAGTAACTAAAATAAACTAATCTAGCTGCCGCAACATTGGTGAAGCTTTTAATCTTTCTTACAGCATACGCAAATGCAGAATGCAGAATTAAGTCTGCTTACTAATTTAGGTACCTATATGGGGCCCTCATTGAAGTTTCGCGTCAATAGTATACCAAGAAAAACAGTGGTATCCACAAGACTCAACTCCTCTCCATTTAAGAGCACATTGGTATTCGAAAGTTTGACATTAGGTAATACGTTTTTTGGCGTTAAACCAATGTACTCATTTCGATAGAGTATTATTTACATTGTCAAAGACCGTTTGAGTTTGAAAATTAAAGAGGTAGTGTAGTGACAATGAAACGACAGAGTTCAGATGACAACTGTTTTATTAATAAAGGCGGTTTTCTAATATATAATATTTTAAGACTACCCACAACACCTTCCCCTTAAAGAATAAGTTTTTAACAAAAGTGATTTATTTTTAAATAATCTTACCAAGAAAGACATGAATAAAAAACTTACTTTAGTACATTTTTTTTACCATAACCTTAACCTTTTTTTTGTGATTACAAAGGATTAATTAAACCGGTTATTTTTTGTTTTTATTTACTTTACTTCGAGTGAGAGGCGGAGATTTTCATTAACTTCAATATTTAACATTGTCGGTTCATATTCATCGTTCGAAGAATATTCCTCATTTTCACTACTCGTAAAAGTAGTTTTTGTCGTCATTGAATTATGTTCTTTATTCTCATGTAATATTTGTGCTGGCGTTCTATTTTCTTGTGTTTTATCTTTTATTAGATGTCTGCGATTGCGGCGATACACCATTCCTCTTTTTAGTTTTAATAAAATATGAGCGGGGAGTCGCCGCTTTTGCAATGTAATGACCTGGAATTTTAGAATTATTTTTTTCTATCATAGTCACCTTATCGCCGACATCCAATACAGGTAAAGGCTTGGCACGTAAATCATAATACATTTTGTATTTATTTTGTTTATCTAGCATAACTTTGTGTTGACTCTCATTATTTACATGTCCTATTTTTAAAAGGTCTGAATGCACTGGTAGCCTGCATTTTAACCTACGACCCATCAGCAGCTGTGCGGGAGAATTCAAATTATCGCGAGGCGTATTTCGATAACTTAGCAAATTTAAATAAAAGTCACTTCCACTATCTATGGATTTTTTTTAATATCTTTTTTATTGTTTGCACGGCCCTTTCACTCTTACCATTGCATAGTTGGGTGATGACGTTATGTGTTCAAATCCCCACTCCACCGCGAAGTTTTTAAATTCCCGACTT